GGGGGGGGGCGACGGCGCTGTGTGCGAGTCAAGGGACGGCGAAGCGGGTGCGAGAGGCGCTCGGGCGCGGCGGCGGCGGCGGCGACGCGACGCGATTGGATGTGTTGACGCGAGATCGAGCGGCGATCGCGCGATTGGCGACGTGTGATTTGATGGTTGTGGACGTGGAGGACGAGCGAGGGGTGGAGGGGACGGCGCGGGCGTGCGCGCTCGGATTACGGGCGCGCGGCGTTCGATTGGTCGTCGCGCGGTCGCCGGCGATGGCGGCGATGGCGGCGGGCGCGGCGGGTGAGATGACGGTCGAGGAGTTCATGAGGAGCATGGTGACGCTGGATGAGACGCCGGAGCCGAGCGCGTCGGAGCTTTGGGGGAACGCGTGGGCGAACATTTTTGCCGAGCGAGGCGACGGTTGTCGATTTCACAACTACGCCGAACGCGGATGCGAGAAGGACAAGGCGGGAGAGACGTGTGCGCACGGACACGCCGCGTGCATGTATTGCGACGGTGATTCGCACCGTGCGTTCACGTGCGAGACGCTCATCGAGCACGCTCGCGCGGCCAGGGTCATCGCGTCGAGCGCTTTACGAGCCGCGGCGACGAAGACGAAATCGCTCGGCGAGCTTCACCGCGAGCGAATTCGATCGAGAGCGAGCGCGTCGGGGGCTGCGTCGAAACGTCGACCGTATTTATACGTAATGGGAGGACGAAATCGCGGTCTCACGGTAGGTGTGGTGGAGCGTTACGACGTTTTGGAGAACAAATGGGAGCGGGCGCCGACGCTCGTCGAGCCGAGAGGATCTCACGGCGCGTGTGCGGTGGGATCAACGCTCTACGTCGTCTCGGGTGGTGGGTGTAAATCCAATCTCACATCCATGGAGACTCTGGACACGTCCAGCGATGGCGAAGCGTCTTGGACGATGCACGACAATGTCGTGAAACCACGTCACGCCATGGGTTCAGCGGCAACGCGCGACGGCAAGGTGTACACCGTCGGTGGCTGGTTCAACGGTTCAGAGGCCCTGGGACAGTGCGATGTGTACGATTGCGACACGAAAATGTGGTCCAAACGGGCAGAGCTCAACTACGCGCGAAGACTCCACGGCGTGTGTGCGACGGACGATGGCTGTGTGTTCGTTTTTGGCGGGACAGTTTTCACCGGATGCGACAGCTCCACCGCCGAGCGGTACGATCCCGTCGAAGACAACTGGACGGAAATAGCCCGACTTCCATTTCCAGCGTGTGCAACAGCGTGCGCCGTCGGTTCGGATTGTTTCGTCTTCACCTGGGGCACGCAGGCGAAGGAGCGTCGATCCGGCGGCTTTTACCGATACGATCCAAAAGCCGATATCTACGAGCCCCTCGGAACGCTCCCGCTCGCGCAGTGGTTCGGTTTCGCCGTGTGCGCGCACCAAAACGTCATCTACGTCATCGGAGGCATCGTTGACGGCCGATGGACCGGTCGATCCTTCGCCTACCACATCTCCGAACGCGCGTGGGAAGAAATAGCGCCCATGGCCTACCCGCGCCGCCGCACCGCCGCCGCCGTCGTCGAGATCTAGCGAATCCGTAATCATCAATGATTATTTTTCCATCCCGAATCCACATCGTTTCTTCCCTCTTCTCGCGCGCGCGTCGTTCCCATTCGTCCGGTCGCTCCCGCCCGTGGCGTTGACCGCCGAGTTCGCGCCCTCACATCTCGTCGATGCCAGCGAACTCGACGCTCGCCCGTACGTTCGCGCGCGTCGTCACCAACGTCGCGCAGCGCTCGCCCGTACGCGCGCAACGTCCCCTTCGCCTTCGCGTCGCGCGAACCGCGCAACGACACAGACTGGTTACGATGACATCGACGTCATCACCCATCGCCGAGAAATCCGTCGCGAGCGAACCGCGATGGGACCTGGAGAAGCACTTCGGATACGCGAGCGCGTCGGACACAAAGATTGATGACGAGATGACGTCGATCGAAAGAGCGTGCGAGGATTTCAAGAAGACGTTTGAAGGGAAATTGGACGCGGAGCTGCTGGAGGCGATCGAGGCGTACGAGGGCATCGAATTGACGCTGACGCGGGCGCTGTCGTATGTGTCGCTGAGCGCGGACACGAGACTGAGCGATGATAACATGCAGAAGCGAAAGGCGTCGTTGATGCAGCGATACGGACAGGCGAGTGGCAATTTCTTGACGTGGTTTAACCTGGAGTTGGCGGCGCTGGACGAAGCAGTCGTGGCGGCGCAGTACGAAAAGAGCGACAAGCTTCGGACGTACAAGCCGTTCGTGGACGAAGTTCGACGATCGGCGCCATACAACTTGTCCAAGGAAGTCGAGCGGGCGCTAAGCGTTCGTTCGTCCTTCGCAGGGAAGGGTAAGGTTGTCGAATTTTACGGCAACGAGCTGTCTCGCCTCAAGTTTGACATGGACGGTAAGCAGGTGAACATGGAGGTTCTGCTGGCCAAGATGACGAGCTCTCGGGACGCCGCCGAGCGGGCAAAGTGTATGAAGACATTAAACGACGGCTTGAAGGATTTCGAGCGCACCGCCGCGCTCTCGCTCAACATGGTTGCCGGATCCTGGCACATCGAGATGAAGGAACGCGGCTTCAAGACTTTGCGCTCCCAGCGCAACTTGTCCAACAACTTGCCCGACGACGTCGTCGACTCCCTGCTACAAGCCGTGGGTACCACGGGTGTGGACTACTGCAAGAAGTACTATGCGCTCAAGAAGCAAATCCTCAAGCATACACAAGGCTTGGACAAGTTTACGTGGTCCGATAGAAACGCTTCTATCGACATCGGCAAGGGCGAGGATAAGTACACGTGGGAGCAAGCCGTCGATCTCGTCCGCGATGGCTACAACAAGTTCTCTCCGACCATGGCCAAGCTTTTTATGGACATGGTCGAGGAAAAGCGAATCGACGTTCCCGCGCAAGACGGCAAGCGCGGTGGCGCGTACTGCTCCTCGTCCTTCGGTTCGGGGCCGTTCCAGCTCCTCAACTTTACCGGAACTCAACGTGACGTCGCAACGCTCGCGCACGAATCCGGCCACGGTGCGCACTTCATCTTGTGCTACGAGCAAGGCATTCTCCAGTTCCACCCACCGCTCACACTCGCGGAAACGGCGAGTATCTTCGGCGAAATGATTGTGTTCCGAGACTTGCTGGAGAAGACGCCGAGCGACGAGGACCGCCTCGCCATGATCATGTCCAAGGTCGATGACATCATCAACTCCGTAGTTCGCCAGTGCTCTTTCGATCAGTTCGAAGAGAAGGTTCACAATGCGCGCGCGAATGGCACGCTCACGCCTGAGGAGCTCGCGACGGCGTGGCGCGAAGTTATGGTGAACTACTACGGCGAGGAAGGCGAGGTGTTCGACTCGTATGAAAACACGAGCCAACTCTATGCCTACGTCTCGCACTTCCATAACGTTCCGTTCTACGTCTACGCGTACGCGTTCGGCGATCTTCTCGTCGGATCCCTGTACGGTGCGTACATGAAGCAACCGGAAGGCTTCGAAGAAAAGCTTCTTGATCTTCTTCGCGCCGGCGGCACCAAGGATTTCGTCGACGCCGTCTCGCCATTTGGCTTGGACCCAGCGTCACCGACGTTCTGGTCCGACGCTCTCCACGCCCATCTCGGTGGACTGATGGAAGAAGCAGAAGAGCTCAGCAAGAAGCTCGGGTACTCCTCGTAAACTCGTCGTTGTAATTGATCGAAAGAAACATGTTTGCAGAATTGTTATGCTTGTCAACATCACAAAATAATGGAAGGTCGCGTTCGGGCTGGTGGGTTCGTGTGATCACACAGACAGTTTTTCAATGCCTTGTTTGGCGAGGTATTGGTCGTGCGCCTTTTCTTGCATGCCTCGCGCCTTGGCGAGCTTCTTCAGGGCGCTCTTTTGCAACGGCTCTCCTTCGGCGTCGTGGGTCGGGACTCCGTCGTCACCAAACTTAGAGTACAAGCCGGCATACTCTTCGAACGTCTTGAACATCTCGCTCGGAGGAACCTTCGCCTTGGCTTCTTTCTCTGCGGCTTTTCGCGCAGCCTCGTCCTTGGCCGCAGCCTTGGCGCGCTCCTTCTCCTCCTTGGGCTCGCGCTC